TTGTAGTCCTTTAAAAGTTCCCTCTCCCGAACAGAGAGAGGGTGGTTCTTAACTCTTTCCAGAAAAGCTGCCCTTCTCAAAGTGCTGTTTTCAGTGTTACTGAGTGAGTAGTTTCTTAAGAAGAATGGGGATGCAGGATACACATTGGAAACCTGATAATGTGTGTTTATTATATTCTTGAGCTCTTTGGCTCTACTTTTTCTTCGTCCATCCATTGCCCTCCAATTCCATGGGATCCTGTTCCAAAGTGGAAAGAAAGCAGTAGTTGCTTGGCTCAGGGAAAAATGGAAAACAGAGGCAGTTAAGTAGATAAGACAACAGCTGCATGGAGGTGAGAAAGAAGATAAACTAGGGATGCCTACCTCCAGGTGGGACCTGGGGATCCCCCAGGAATTACAGCTCATCTCCAGACTAAAGAGATCGGTTCCCCTGGAGAAAATGGAAACTTTGGAGGGTGGACTCTATGGCATTGCACCTTACTGAGGTCCCTGTCCTCTCTAGGCTCCATTCCCACATCTCCAGCAGTTTCCCAACCTGGATCTGGCAACCCTAACCCCCCTCCCTCGCCAGCAGCCATGGGGAGACCTGGCAACCCTAAGGTCAACCCTGATGGCAGGTCGTTTGGGAACAGGGATCTTTCTGCCAGCCCAGTCCTCCCATTCTTTATGTTTCCTCTTGTCTCTGTAGGCGGAGATGCAGAACCAAGAAAGCCTCGAAGTCAAGGTCCCATTCTGGGTGTACCAATACCTAAGAAAAACATTTGCTCAACAATATTTAAGAAGAATGCTGTTGGGTGATGCTGATATCCATTACCCACTTGCTCTGGAATAGTCCTGCTAAAGATAGAAGTCCTTGAAGACGTCCTGAGGAATTATGACAACTGTACTCCACAATGTAGAGAGGGCATGAGCAGGAGGATGTTGAAATAGGGTCGCCAGCCAACTAGAAAGAACAAAAATCCCAGCCTGGCCAGATTCACCATCATCATCAATCATAATCTTTTAGGCCAGTTGTCAGAAGAATCAAAAATAAAGGTCAGGATTCATTTATTTTTTGCCATCTTAGTGTTTTGATGAATAAAAACCTACATGAACACACAACTCTTATCCTGGGTTCTTCCCACAAAACCACCTTGTGGCACTCTGCCCTGACCCCACCTATTCTGAACCGTCTCTAGGTTTGGCCTCAAGGCCAGATTTTGTTTGTTTGTCTGTTCGTTCCATTTCAAGAATGGCAACCACTTACTGGAATCAGTGGCATTACAAAGAGGTGAGTGGTTTGAAGACTGTCATTTCTATTTCACTGTCTCAAGCTCCATCCATCGCAAGTAGGTTAACGTTTCCATTTACAGCAGGGAAATTTTCTTTCATTTGCCTTTGTGCAGGTTTTGGAAGGGGGGGGGACATCCACCCACACATCAGTGTGAAAGAAAAGAAATCCTACCCACCTTGGCACAAAGAAGAAAGGAAAAGACTGGAGGGGGAAAATACCAGAAGTATCTTGGGCTTGTATGTTCATTGGGGATGATAAAGAAAACCTTAAAAGAAAGAGGCTCCAGATGTACTCTCAGCCCCATCATATGAGGTTCCGGCTCTCTCTGAACTTCTGAAAAGTAAACATACTCCACTGATAAAAGGAGGCTGTGTAATTCCGGGCTCAGTTGGCCTCTAGAGCTACTTGCTGATCTGCCTTTGATGTTCAAGAAGAACACACAGCATGTGCTGGAATCCCAGACTTATCCTAAAGAGAGGTGTAATTGAAGGAAACAAGTCTTTGGAAAATTTGCATCCACTTTCTCTTTCTCTAAGATCAAGATCAGTACTATACCAGAGTTAAAGCGGGATTACATCTAAAACTATGATTTCCTGACTGAAATTCACTGTGAGGAAAGGAAAGTTCTAAAGAAACTTCTCCCCAGGCTTGTAGACCGTGATAAATCTGCTTTTAGCCATGTAATTAACCTATGGGCCATTAAACTGCCTAATATGTACATTGTGTTGATTACACAAGCAACCTGTCCTCATGATCGGAGGAGATAGGCAGTCAGAAAAGATAACTGATCAGCTTCCAAGAGCAGGGACTTCTGATTTCATGGAAGGTAATCTGAGATCTTCATCAATACAATGCTTACATAAATAAGCCTCTGGTGAGAGTGGTGATATGTACAGATTAGGTTGCTCAAGTAATGTATGGTAGTTAACTATGAAAGACAGCTTATGCCCAAAGGATGAAAACTGAACATACAGGTTCTAAGAGTTTCAAGAGATGATGTACTATCCATAGGATCTGTAATCAATTCTTGTTCAAAGGCTGTGGGGGACTTGTGGTGACTTCTGGAGCTCCACACCACTTATATCAGACCTACACAATGGGGCCCACCAAGCTAAATGCATGTAGTCCACCAAGCCAAGCACATTGGTCTGTAAGGTACTTGGCACCCACCTCACCACTGTTATTGAAAATCTAAGCAGGGTCCAAAAATATGGTCTTAGGCAGCCTATGCTGAGATAGGTACACAGCAGCCATGGACCAGAAACCAGAGGCAAAGATGGTTCTGTACCCCACTAATCCAACACAACAGTATAGCAAACTTCTTTATTCTCCTCACATGCTGGACAGGCTATCAATATTTAAATGTCCATATCATTGGGAACCTGGATACCCTGTTATGGCAAGCATTCATTCAACGTGTTCTGAAGTTTTATGTTTACCCAGAAGGGCTTTTTGGGGGGGGGGGGGGAACACGCCAGGACAGCATTCGGGAACCTCTTTGACAAAATTCTTTTAAAAATGTTTAAAATTTTATGAGTTTTCAGGATACAGATTGAAAACTTCATTTCCCTCTTGAGAGTTCTGGCACCTTTCTTTCTTTTTTTTTAAAGCCCTGGAAGTACCCTTACAGTAATCTGAAGGTCAGAATCCTAGTATATGTGCCAAAGAATGCCAGCGTTACAAATCAGTTTCTCACCAGCATTTTAAAAACCTGGACATGATTTGCTTATACTTCACACCGACACATTCTCCAGAATGATTTTATAATAGGTTTCACTGCTAGAGTCAGCAAACATTTGTAATGTATATACAGGTAACTATCAGGACTGGGTTGTTAATAGCTAACTGTCAAACCTTCCTGTGGAAAACACAGGGGAGAAGGAATGAAAACACCAGGCCTCATTGGCAGGAAATGCATAAAATCCATCAAACTGGAGAAGTGTTATAACATTTGCAATCCAAGAATATGAAAGCTACCATACCGGGTCAGACAAGATGTTCAAGATGTCCAACCAAGGATCATGCTGGCAGGGTTGCTAACCCTGGTTTTTTTCAATGGAAGCCAATGAACAACTAAGCACCCTTTATTCTTGTTCACTTAGTCCCATATTAGATGGGACACTATAGGATCCATGAACTGAACTCCTGATCCTTTATATTGCTAAACAGCTGCTGCTGGATGCCCTGCTTGGATCAGGGCTATGGCATTGAAAGGGGAAGGGGTTAAACCAGGGGTGTCATAAGGCCCAGGGGCCAGATCCAGCCCATCTAGGGCTCTTATGCGGCCCACAAGAAACTGATGCAAGGGAGGAAGTGCAGGGGGAAGTGGGCGGAGCCACTCCATTGTGGCTTCAGCACAGCAGAATAATCTTGTCTGCAGCAGTCAAGCATCTTGGGAGCGTCTGCCCACCACTGCACTGCTGGCTCTCCAGTCCGCCTATGTGGGTTTTCCTCTGCACCCCCCTCCCAGCCCATGGGACCTTGTAGTGAGGATACACCATGTCAGAGCTTACCAGCTGCTGTCCTTTATACAAGTTTCTATCTCTGGTACCTGGCATTACATTTTATGGCATACATGTCCCGGTCCAACAAAGTGACATTTATGTCAGATCCGGCCCTCATAACAAATGGGTTTGACACCACTGGGTTAAACCTTTCTCCCATATTCTGAGCTATTTTCTTAAACCATCAGTTGCCAGCATGGAGTTGCTATACAGGCAACATGCAGGCAAATGGAATGTTTCCATCAGTTGGGCAACTAGCAGACCCCCAAGCAGGGTCTGAAGTCAGTCAGACAGCACAAAGGTGTGGCGGAACAGTGGCCTCGATCTGAATAGGGGAATCCTCATAGCCGCTATTCACCAATAAAAATGCTCAGGAGATCTGTTCACCGGTCTCCCAGTATCTCCTGTAATTTTCCTCTTACAGCCTGTAGGACTCAGAGGTTTGGGGGCATTTTAGCTAACTTTCCTGTCTTAAAAAGAAGCATGTGTGTTTTTAAAGTATACATAACTGAGAACTAAATGCAATAAGAATCAGATTTCATGCTCTCATTTTTTTCCACTACAAGGTAAGAGTTGTAGTCATCAGCACACGGTAGAGATGCACATCGGTGTGAATCATACAAAATGTTCTCAACACATCGCTCAATTTAGGACCAGGCCAATACAATTCAGCAGATCAAATGGCAAGATCATGCTGAACTTCTGTTAGGCCACACAGTGTGTTGAGTCATTCACAAGACCGAAGTTTCCATGAATCCCCTTTTAAGGTAATTAGAACAAAAAGAAGCATCTGAATCCACTATTTTAAAAATGTAATCAATACAATTTTTTTTTTCTGATTGTGATTGATTTGGTTCAACTTGAAGAAAGCAGACTGGAATTAGATTGAGAGCATAAGAAAACAGGCTGCCCCAACCAACAAGCCCCATCTCGAGGTTATGAAATTAAACACAAGTTGTTGTTGTTAGTTTTCCTTCTTTTTTAAAAAAACAACAACAAAAACACCTTGTTCACAATTGAATAGGTTATGTTATTCAATTCCCCAGTACAGTGTTCCTAAAATTATCTACTTTTAAGACAAGGTGCTTGCATAATGACAAGGGTCTTAAGAGCAGTGAATGTTAGAAAATGAACTCTGTTTGCAATTGCTGACTGACAAATGGTGAGTAATGAATGGTAATATTTACGGAACACAATCTGCCACCATACCCCAATACTACTAACCTCCATCCACAACCAGGCCAAGTACATGCAAAAGGTTTTTCTCCTGTGTGCCTTCTCAGGTGGGCTTTCAAATGGCTGCTTTTGGTGTACATCTTGGTACATCCAGGGAAAGTACATTTGTGCATTTTAATAAGTTCTGCTGCAGGGTTCTTTTGAAACTTTTGACCCATGATTACCCCAGTTTGACCCTGGATTGTACCTCCTGGCCCGATAGGTTTTGCAGCAATTGGAACTGGGGCTATGCGAACAAATTTGGAGGATGAGTTCAAGTTGGACGATTGAACAATCTGTGGCACAAGTGCAAATGTCTGCCCTTGGATGTTGACTAAGAGTTGTGCAATTTTAATGTTCTCTTGCACTGGTCCTTGTGAACTAGGGCTCGTGTTTGTTGCTTGTTTCACTTGTACTGGTTGGATTTGGAGCATGACCGGAATCCCTCCATCAAGGGACACTGCTCCATTTGATGCATGGCTACTTTCCATTGCGCTACTGGACTGTTCACTTTTACTATCTTTTAAACTATTACTTGGCACCATGTGATCTTTTTGCTGTATGGAAGCCATGCTAATCTGGCTACATGCTCTTAAGTCTTTGGTCTCACTTTTAGGCCCTTCCTTGAGGTCTGTCTCCATGTTCTCTTCTAGAAATTCCTCAATCTCCTCAAGGGTGGGCTGAAATGGTCCAGAATCTTCCATCTCCACCATGAATTCTGGCATCCTAAAATGCTCCTCCTTCACGATGGGCTGAAGTCTCCTTTTGTCCCACCAAGAGGAGGGGCCATTCCCCAAAGATGCTTGGGACAACAGGTAGTCCAAGATACTGTCCTGACTCTCCATACTCGACGAACTCCCATAGCTTGAACCAAGAATCTGGGAATCAGGACTGGAACAAGAACAAAAACTTGAAGAATCGCTGTCGTCTTCTGACAAGGGGGAAGGCAGCATTTGGTATGACTGCCCGACAGCTGTCATGTCCCCAAAGTATCCAAAAGAGGGCCTCGTGGAGAAGAAAGATTCATCCGCAGGAAGCAAGTGATCCACCATTCCTGGATAATCTCTTTATGGATGTCCCACCAGCATGTACCAACAGAGCAAAAGCCTGAATATGGGAAACACAAACACTGACAGTCAGAAGTCAGGTTTAATCATTCATCTCAATGCGCTCAAACTACAAAGTGCTCTGCAGCTCGGCATTGGAGTCCTCACCAAGCGCACATGTTGCTACATGCTTTGATATTGCCCGTATCACCCGAGAGGATTTCTTGAGTAGTTGGAAGCCTTTTCCAAGATTGCACCACATGTTTGCAAAAGAATTCTCTCTCTTAAAAAAAAAAAAACCCTAAAAAACAATTTCACAACTATGTGTTCTTTAGATTTACAACAGGCCTCCTTTCCAAAAGATTGCTGGCAGGAGGGAAGATGTTGCTGTCCATCCTTTCGCTCTGCAATGATTCCTAGAGCCAGAGCCAAGAGGATGGAGAAAGGGGAATACTGCTGAAAATTTTACCATCCCCAAACCTCCGTATCAAGTAGAGTGTTTATTACTGGGCTGCATTAAAAAACAACTCCGTCCCTTCCCTAGTAGCTTTCCACCAGCTTTATTTTTAACTTTCTCACTTATACAAATATAGGCCAATCAGCGTAATGCAAGGCTCAGTGCGGCCGGAGCTAAAAATATGGGTTTCACTTCATGGTCAACTTCACTGGGGGGGATTTTCCTCTCTGGATTAATGCATCAAGTTGTCTACCATCGGCGCTGTTCCTTCTATAGCCTTCAACCAAGCTCGATGGAATAATTAACCATACCTGGCCCAATCCAGAGAAGCATCTCCTCTCAAGAGCCTGTCATTAGAACATGATTGTCAGAATTTGAATCTGGCTTGCGACACCTCTTGCATGCCTGTGAAGCAACAGTGACTTCACTTCAGCATCTATTACTGCCTACCATTTGAGAACACTGCCTAGGGATGATCACAACAGTGCCAGCTTCTAAATTTGGGAGAGGTGTTAGAATTAGCATCTCACCTCCAGCTTCAGATTTCAAAGCATTGTGACCCACCTAATTATGTTGTGTTCCAGCAAGCATCAATTAACACAGCCTCTATATGACACACACACCCAAAAAATCACTTTCTCAAATTCAGGCATTGTATGTCTAAGTCCATCAGGGGAAATCGTGCCTCTATCTTCCCACTCACAGTCACTTGAGTAAAATTTCTCCCAAGCGGCAATGCAATGGTTGCAACTTGCACTTCAGTTGTGAAAGGCAGAAGAAAGTGTCTGGGGTCTACATCAAACCACAATTATTTGTTCTGGTCAAAGTGGCTGATGGAAAACAGAGCTTGCAGCTCTTTCTGCAGAAGGTATGTGGATTGTGGAGAGCAGTCATTTGATCCGCGTTTGTGTGTGTGTTGTAAGAAAAGGCATGTGATCTAACATGAAGGAAATACCAAGCACGCCTTGTTTCAGAGTCTCATTTTCCACATGTCCCTCTGCTGTTGCAGCTCCAACCACTTTGCCAGGAGTTGTTGATATTGGAAACAAAGGGTGCCTATTATCCTCGCCGCCTGTTCTGCAGACTTACCTCCAAATTTTAATTTTATTTTGCTTAAGGAACTGCTATCTGTGGCTGATGCAGCAAAGAACATTTGTGCACAGTTTCTCTCACATGCTCCATCAGCACCCGTCTATTAACACTCCACAGGAAGCAGCAAGAATGAGTGAAAGCACATTTCTTTGCGATAAGGCTTCCTGATTGATGCAAACCAGGGGACATGGATACTGAATTTTGAAATGAGACATGTGGGTCTGCCAGAGTTACACATTTTCCTCGTTTACACACCAGTGCCGATCATCTCTTCCTGTCAACTGACAATGCTTAGGAAATGTTCACATGTATTGAATAGCAGGAAGTTCAAACAAAGGTCAGAACCCACCCTGTGTGATTTTTGCTTACAATCACTTCAACTAGCAAAAGTGATTCCTCACATACCTGTGTGGCACACCCAGACTAGTTTACTGCAGACTAGACTTTGCTGTCAATGAATGAAAACCCAGGAGTTCCTCCCACAGAAATCAGCAGCAGGTGCATGGTCCATTTAAATCAGCTTAATTGGTAGAACAGTTGATTACCTGATTAGTTGATCAACTGGTGGTGAAATCAGCAGGCTTAAAATTAAGTATGCAGGTTATTTGTTGAGACTGCTTTGACTCAGGTGTGTTGGTTTAATAGGAAATGAAAAATGTTAAAGTCATGTCTTCCCTTCTAGCCATGGGACAACACAGACAATGCTCTGGAAGTTCTGTGATCTGATCTTCCAAGCATCATTTTAAACTGAACTATACCTGTGTGGGGTCTCAGTTTGGATTGTGCCCATGCAAGGGCTTCCACCCTGGCATCGTTTTGCTAATCAAAGCCAACACCACCTACCACACTGTTATGACACTTTAATGAAAAAAGACTGGCAAATCGTGGGTACCTGTATTTAGAGACCGCAGCATGGGTGCCAGGTTTTGATTAGTAGAAACATGCGGGGATGAAAAAGATAAGCTCCCCTTCTCCACTCCAAAATGCCCAAGATCTGAATTGAGGCCCCACATTGCTGTAGTTCAGTTTACAAAGCTGCTGGGAGCCAGTGGTCTTCATCATACATGTGTTGGCTTGGAGCGTGTGGCAGCATTGCCATTTCACTTTTAAACTATCTCACGCTTACTTCAAGATCTCAAAAAGGCAAATTAATCTCTATTTAATCATTGTAGTGATTGGTTACTTGAACAAGCAGGTGATTAAAGTTCTTTACTTGGTCAGTTTATTCCTGATTTTTGCTAGTGAAACAAAAGACAGGTCTGACTGTGGCAGTTTGGACGGGCTGAAACAAAGTCCATCTGGCATCGTCTTTCATTTTTGCTTCTGTGGAAAAAACCCTGTATATAGCAACAGTTTGTACACCGGTCAGAACCTCCTCCATGTATTTCTGGGTGACATGTGGCTTTCAAAGGAGGCTCAGCGGTACACAAAAGATGGGCTGGGGAGACTACTTCTCTGCCCCACGGGGCTTTCCTACAGGGTTTCTGAAAGTTCAGCCATTCCCCATACTTTTCATCACAGTGTATCTGGAAATATGGGGTGAGGAATCATCCTTACGTGAATCGCACTAAGTTCTATGTTCTTCTTTAGCAGGCCTACATGTGGTGGTGGAAAACATGGGGTTGGGATCAGTGACAGGATTGGTGGGGTGTAGCTGAATCCAGAGACTATAAAGAGAGGCCTGGTGGATCTGTATGTGGGCAGTTCTGCTGTGCTAGACAGGGCCAGACTTCCCTTGAAATACCAGTTGTATCTATTGGGATCTTTCTAGATTGGACATTACTCTTAGTATCCTAGACAGCAGGTATGGCAAGGAATGCCTTTTACCAACTGAGGAGCAATAAATGTAAGAATCTGAAAATCATTCCGCATACTTTCTAACGAAAGTCCAGTTGAAGAAGCTCATTAAAAACACGGTGAACTTTATGCATTCTTAGATACCTTGACAATGTCTTGTATGGAGTACAGCCACACCCTGAGCATGATGGTACATTTGGAAACGGTTCAGAAACACCAAACGGCTCAAAATGCAACAGCCTATGTTATTAGGAATGGGTTGTTACAAGCAATGAGTGCTGATACTGAAAGCATTACATTGGCTTCCACAGTACTTTTGAACCTTAGATTTATATTTTGTATTTATATTTTATATTGTAACGGCCAACGGCCATATACAATAAACTTACTACTACTACTGCATTGGCTTCCGATTCATTTCCAGGCACAGATCAAAGAGCCGGCCTTCAGTTTTAAAGGCTAAGAGAACCTTTAGGACAACACACACCCTTCCCAGCATTAAGAGCTTCAGTGCAGGACCTGCTACAAATTTTGTTCTTTCTTTGGGATCAAGGGAAAGGGTCTTCTTTGTGGTGGCACCCACCTCATGAAATTCCCTCCCAAGATATGTCCCACAAGCTAACTCACATCCTATTTTTAAGGGGGGGGAAGCTTTCAGCACGTGTATGTGGGGGTAAGGAAAATGCTTTAATTAATGCTATTGGTTGCTGCACTGAATCCATTCCTAGAGTTTTCAGAATGTGATGCTTAATGTAATTAAATTCCATTGTGACATGTGCATGTGGTTGCTTTGGTACCCGTGTTAGCTGCTCGGAGGGCCACAGCTGTGCCGTGTATTAGAATATAAACTTCAAACTCAATCCATTAATCAAACAGTCTGTATTCAATTATAAGAGCTGTCTGACATGTCCATCCAGGCACATCAGTGGTCAATGAGTGAGCACTACGGGTAGTAAACATCTGGTATGTGAAGGAGATACACATAACCAAATATGCAATGAAAACGTTCTGAAGAGTTACGGTTAACTGAAGTTCCATGACATGTGTACTAAGCATTTGGGGAAACACGTCCCTCCTTTAAACATTATTACAGAATTAGCTATATTTAAACCCACCAATAATCAATGAATTTCAGCTCACCGAACTGTTCTTTGGATTGATCAAGGTGGATAGCCGTGTTGGTCTGAGGCAACAGAACAAAGTTAGAGTCCAATGGCAACAAAGTTTTATTCAAGATGTGAGCTTTTGTGTGCATGTACACTTCGTCAGACGATGAAATGGAATTACATATCAGCGGCCTTGTCCACACGAGGGGTTTTGGGCCGGGAGTGGGCCAGATCGGGGCCGGAGCAAACGGGCGCGATCCCACTGCAACATCGGGGCAGCGTTGCGCACCTGTCCCTGATCCGGCCCTTCCCCCGATGAAACGCATCAAAAATGAACCACCTACCGATGTGGTTCATCCACGACGGCCACATCAACGCCGGCCGTGGTATCGCCGGCCCGTCTTTCTGCCGGCGCATCCCCGGCTCCTGCCTGAACTGTGCATGCTTAGACATGCGCAGTTCAGCAGTCTCCCGTTCCCCTCCGTCACTTCCCCCGGCATCTGATCGTGCTGAGGAGGGAATGCGTTGCGGCTCAGGGGATCAATGTGATCCCGCCGTGGCGTGTTTTTTTTTGGTGAGGCTTTCAGAAGCCACGCTTCAGCCCGTCCC